TTTTTTTTTTCTTTTTTTGATGTTTGGGGGAATATCAACTTTATTTCTTCATTCTCCCACTAAAATTTGTTCTTGGCATGCAGTGAATCAAGGTTTAAGCTAGGATTCTGTGAGTGGCCGTCCAGTAACAAATATGGGGGCAAAAGGGCCTATTCCGCAAGGGGTGTGGGGCTATGCCCCCCCCCCCCCCCCCCCCCCCAAAATTTTGCATAATCATTGCGTTTTTGGTGTGTTTTCCATAATTTTCAGTCGATAAATTTAATGGACGTAATGATAATGCGTCGTTTTCTTTGTCAAAACCCTTAAATAGATTGAAACAGCCCTGCATACTAAACGCATCAGTTGTGTTAACACCTCCATGATTGTCTTTGATTACGACGTTTGTCCAACATTGATCCATCCTAGCTTAAGGCAAGTATTACGGTTCGCCATGGGTGTGCAAATCTGTGTCCACAATCGTCATTTATACATGTCAGTTGAGAAATCACTCCTATATGTTGAGGCTTTCAAAACACGGTGTGTGCTTGCTGATCTAAATGTCATGAATTTCCTTTTGGGTATATGAATCCCACACAGATGGTCTCTGATGGTCACTGATAAATAACAAAAGTTTTTCTTAAATGTGTTCGGGGCAACGATGCAGCTTCCCTCTGATAACTCCGACAGTAAAAGTAAGTAAAGTAAAACTTTGTTTAGCCGCCGGATTAGCCCTCGTGATAATGCTAGTAACATATAACGAATATTAAACTTGATCGAGGTCTTTAAAGAGTTCTACTCCTATATATTTATTTTGTTTACGGTGTTTATGGTCCATTTCTCCTTTGCGCGGGACTCCTCCAATTTTTTTCTCTTTGGGCTCATTGAAGAACGCCGTCTGCACTGATTATTGACTTCATTAGGAGGCTAGGACGCGCCCACACTACACCGAAGGAATTTAAAAACGCAACAATCACCGGTCGTTTTATATTTTTGTTTGAGGAAATCTCGGCCAGGTTCACGTGGCTCTTCTGATCCTACCTTGTTCGAAAAGGTCCGTTTTAAAACGGCGTCGACAAAACCTAGATCGGACCGGACCGGATCACGGATCGGATCACGGACCGGATCACGGATCG